ATTGATTATTTAAAAAAACGGTGCTACTCTAGGTACAGAGCTCTAATGTTTCTTCGGATACAAATGCCAGCTAGGTGGATTTGGGCCATCTACAGGCAGTCCTCGACTTTTGATCCCAATTGAGCTGAAAATGTATGCTGTTAAGTGAGTTTCGCCCCATTTTACGATCTTTCTAGCTACAGTTGTTAAGCGAATCATTGCAGGTGTTAAGTTAGCAACACGATTTTTAAGTGAATCCCCATGGGCTTTGCTTTTCAGAAGGTCGCAAAAGGGAATTATGTGGCCCCAGGACCCTGCAAACCGTCATAAATATGAACCAGTGGCCAAACGTCTGAATTTTGACCATGTGACCATGGGGTTGCTACAATGGTCATAAGTTTGAAAAATGGTCCTAAGCGGTGCAGTGGTTAGAGTGCAGTATTGCAATCTACTTCTGCTGACTGCTGGCTGACTGCAATTTGGCAGTTCAAAGCCTCAACAGACTCAAGGTTGACTCAGCCTTCCATCCTTCCGAGGTGGATAAAATGAGGACCCAGATTGTTGGGGGCAAGAGGCTGACTCTGTAAACCGCCTAGAGAGGCCTATAAAGCACTGTAAAGCGGTATATAAGTGCTATTGCTATAAGTCACTTTTTTCAGTGCTGTTGTAACTTTGAAGACCCTGTCTTGCATTTTTTTGAACCCTGAAATAAGTGCTTGGCCTTATTGCCATGCGCTCAAAAGCCCGATTGGGCTTATTATCAGATGTCTTATTTTGGGGAAAACAGGGCAGTGGTGAAATCCAAATTGTTTTACTACGGTTCTGTGGGTGTGACTTGGTGGGTGTGGTTTGGTATGGTGGGCGTGCTGTGGCTTGGTGGGCGTGGCTTGGTGGGCATGGCAGGGGAAGGATACTGCAAAATCCCCATTCCCTCTCCACTCCTAGGGGAAGGATATTGCAAAATCTCCATTCCCACCCCACTCTGGGGCCAGCCAGAGGTGGTATTTGCTGGTTCTCTGAACTACTCAAAATTTCCGCTACTGATTCGTCAGAACCTGCTGGATTTCACCCCTGAAACAGGGTAAATGAACTGTTGTAAGTCGAGAACCACCTGTACTCTCTACTGAGGCAGGGAAGTCAAAAAAACCAAACCAAAACAATCCCAAATGAAGATATTGGCAAATCACTTCTGAAAATGTTGCCAAGGAAACAGCATAGTCCTGTTATTATGGACCTCTGATTGATAAAAACAGAATGATGTTACATAATACTATTATTTATAGGTTACAAGATTTAGTGTTCATTATTAATTCCCAGCTTTGAACACTCTGAATGTGAAGCACGCAAATAGTATTTAGTAAAACCAGCAGTCCATATATGTCACGCTCTCTTCAGGCTGGGAATCTGTATGGAAATATGCAAGTAGTCCTTGACTTATGACCACAAATGGCACTGAAGTGACCCTGGGACACTGCAAACGTCATAAATACAAGCTGGTTGCCAAGGGCCAGAATTTTGATCATGTGACCATGGAGATTAGTGGTGGGTTCCTCCTGGTTCAGCCCGGTTCGGCCAAGCCGATAGCAGTGACAATATGACATCATCGAACCGATTCTATTTGTCCGTGAGCTGGGCCCTCCCGCCCACCCCTACGTTATTCCTGAAGTGGCCCTGGGACACTGCAAATGTCATAAACACATGCTGTTGCCAAGGGCCAGAATTTTGAGCATGTGACCATGGAGATTAGTGGTGGGTTCCTCCTGGTTCAGCCCGGTTCAGCCGAGCCAATAGCAGTGACAATATGACATCACCGAACCGATTCTATTTGTCCGTGAGCTGGGTCCCTCCCACCCGCCCCTACGTTATTCCTACCTTTTATTTCTTCTTTTTTAGTCCAGCTGATAGGTGCGGCAGAGTGGATTGCCGCATCTCAGCTGGGCAGATTCCTAACACGCTTGTGCAGAGCGTGTGCATGAAGAGAAAGCCGATTGGAACCCACCACTGATGGAGATGCTGTGATAGTTGTTAAGCGCAAGAGCTGGTTGTAAGTCACTTTCTTCCGTGCTTTTGTAACTTTGAACGTCCTCTAAACAAGTGGTTGTAAGTCAAGGACTGCCTATATAGGATATTCTTCTTATACAGGCAGTCCTGAACTTACAACCACAACTGAGCCCAAAATTTATGTTTTGTTAAGTGAGAAATTTGTTAACTTTGCCCCGTTTTAGGACTGTCCTCGCCACATTTGTTAAGCAAATCACTGCAGTTCTTAAATTAGCAACACGTTGTTAAGTGAATCTGGCTTCCCCGTTGACTTTGCTTGTCAGAAGGTCACAAAAGGGGATCACGTGACCTTGGGACACAGCAACGGTCATAAATGTGAGTCACTTGTCAAGCATGTAAATCTTGACAAGTGACGAATGTAAATCATGTGACCCTGGGGATGCTGCAACGGTCATAAGTGTGAAAAATGGTCATAAGTGACTTTTTTCAGTGCCGTCATAACTTTGAACGGTCAGTAAATGAACTGTTGTAAGTCAAGGACTGCCTGTAGTGTCATCCCTGGCATTGATTGGCTCAGCTGCTGTGACATCCTGGAACAATCCCTATAAAGAGGAAGAATATTTATAGTCTAATCTTCTGAAACGGAAAGGGGTAAATATCAATTTGGCTGGAATTAAAACCTCACGTTGAACCTTTAATTTGAAAAGCTAGGGGAAAAAATGCCTGGCATGAGTTTTCAAAGATTTCATTTTACAGAGCAGTGAAAAAGACAGATGCTTGGGAAAAAAATGGCTCCAGGAACGGCGACATTAAAAAAAAACCCAAACAACCCCAAATAAATAGATTGCATTTCATTTCACTCAGCTTTGGGATTCTCCTAGCATTTTAATATTTTTTCCTGGTGCCGAGAGTCTCTTGTTGATTCCTGAAGGGCTTTTATGACAGCGAAGGGTACCCACGTTGAAAATACAATTACTGTACCACCTTAAGTGAATTGATTTCCAAATAAAATGGCTTGGTTGATGGGGGAGATGGAAATTTCAACACTGATAGCTTATTAAAAGAAGACTGTGGTGTGAAAATAGATTTCTGTGTGCAAGGGAGATGTATATATATTTCCTCGGCATGACTGTTCCAGTATATTTACAAGTCTCAATTCCACCCCTCACCCTTTATGGTGAAACACCTCTTACCTGCTGTTCAGAGCAGGGGTGAAATCCAGCAGGTTCTGACAGGTTCTGGAGAACTGGTAGCGGAAATTTTGAGTAGTTCAGAGAACCAGCAAATACCACCTCTGGCTGGTCCCAGAGTGGGGTGGGAATGGAGAATTTGCAATATCCTTCCCCTAGGAGTGGGGAGGGAATGGGGATTTTGCAGTATCCCTCCCCTGGAGTGGGGTGGGAATAGAGATTTTGCAATATCCTTCCCCCCAGGAGCGGGGAGGGAATGGGGATTTTGCAGTATCCTTCCCCTGGAGTGGGGTGGGAATGGAGATTTTGCAATATCCTTCCCCCCAGGTGTGGGGAGGGAATGGGGATTTTTGCAGTATCCTTCCCCTGCCATGCCCACCAAGCCACACCCACCAAGTCACACCACGCCCACCAAGCCACGCCCACAGAACCGGTAGTAAAAAAATTTGGATTTCACCACTGGTTCAGAGGTAAACTGCATCTAAATAAGGAGGGTCTTTTATTTTTTTATTTTTTGTTCTAATGCTTCCTCTAGAGTAGACCCCAGGATCCATTATCCTCCACGCTGGTGCAATTGAATCTTGCACTGAATGACAAAACTATCGGTCCATATAAGAATAATGCTTTAAAAATCATTTTATCGGTTTCACACCAAATGATGTGAACTTTTGGCTAAAACAGTTTCTGTGGAAGTCCCAAACAATCCTGAAGACGGCGAGTAACCTAAACTCCCGTCTCAATTTAATTTAAGTTTGGCTTGGATAAAACACGGATTCAGCTCATTATTTTGTTTCCAGCAATGCGGAGCTGGGAAGAATCAACCTTCTTTATTTGTCCTTGGCGTTTATCGCTTAGAGGTAGACTGCCTCTGAACAAGGGAGTTCCATTTTGTTGCTACAGGCTCCCGGCCAATCGATACTTTTCGCCAAGCACGTTGGAAACAAACTCCACTTTCGCCAGCTTTCTTTCTACTCTGCCTATGTTTTTTTTTATTGGTCACATCAGTGGATAGCGGCCCATCCTCTCCGTCCCTCCCTGGCACCCTGGATCGCCCTTCCCTGCACTCTGCACACCCTCAGAGACGCTCTGCACCGGTTCCGCGCGCAGGAAGGAACCGATGTCTCCTCTAATCTCCATCCGCCCCTCGGTCTGCTCGGAGCTCCGTCTCCTACCCGGCAGAAGATCCAAGCCACTAACCCTACTATAACCACTAACCCTACTATAACCACTAACCCTACTATAACCAGAGAGGGGAAGGCAAGAAACAAGGGATGGAAACTAAATCAAGGAGAGAAGCAACCTGGAATTGAGGAGAAACTTCCTAACAGTGAGGACAATGAACCAGTGGAACTCATTGCCTGCAGATGGTTTAACTTTTAATGTTTTATATATGGTTTTTAAATGCATTGTAAGCCGCCTTGAGTCTTTGGAGAAAGGTGGCATACAAGTTGAACAAATAAACAAACAAATAAGTTGTGAGTGCTCCAACAACTAGCGGTTTTTACGAAAAGACCGGACAGCCACTTGTCTGAAATGCTAGTGGGTTGGACTAGAAGACCTCCAAGGTTCCCTTCCAGCTCTATTCCGATATTGATTAATTAATTAAATATAAAAAAGAACACCGCTTATTTGGGGGGGGGGGCGTAAGCCCTACTAAGCAGGTATATACAAAAGGAGGAAGGCTATTGCTTAACGCATTGTAAGCCGCCCTGAGTCTCCGGAGAAAAGGCGGCATATAAATCGAACCAATAAATAAATAAAATAAATAAATTGATTGATTGACTGGCTACCTCCTCCTCCGCCACATCCCGATCGCCCTTCTCGCCTCACCTCGTCCATCTTCGTTCCCTGGCCATCTTTTCCTCCTCCGCCCTCTGTACGTGCTCAGGGGCCACGTGCTTGGAGCTGAACCCGTTCGCCTTGCGCTTTTTTTCCTCTCCCGCTCGCTTTCGGACGCCTCCTCCTCCTCCTCCTCCTCCTCTTCTTCCCCATCGGCCCGTCTCTCTCTCTCTCTCTCTCTCACCACTCGGGCGTCCCGTTTGTTGGCTCTGCCCCGCAAGGCAGCGATGCCACCTCGGCCCGGAGGCTGCCAAGCAGCCGGTTCTTTGGAGCCGACCGACCCGCCCTCTTTTGGCGGGTCCAGCGCCCCCAGTGGCCCAACGGCGCCGAGCCTTCGCCCGGGAAAGCGAGCGCCAGCCAGAGCGCAGAGCGCAGAGAGCGCCCGGCCACTGGATCGGCTGCAGCTCCGGCGGCGCCCGGGCTCCTTCCTCCGCCCCCGACGCTCCCGTGGGCGGGCCCTGCCCGGCCCCTTCCCTCCCCTCCTAGGCGCCCCCAGGCCTCCTGCCCACCCAGGGGCCGGCGGGGGGGGCGGAGGGGCCGGGCACCCCAAACTTTGCCCGCCCACGCCGCGCAGGCTTCCTCTATGGAGTTGCGCCGGGCGCTCCTCTGCTGCTGGTGCCTGGCGCTCCCCTGCAGCCTTTTGCTGCTGCTCCCCGCGCCGGGCCGGGGTCACCCGCAGCCCTGCCACATCCTGGCGCGGATCGGGCACACGGTGAAGCTGGGCGCTTTGCTGCCCCGCGGAGGAGGCGCGCAGAGCCGGGTGCGCAACGCCCTGGCTCGGGCCAGCCGCGCCGCCGCCGCCGTCCTGCCTTACAACCTCAGCCTGGAGGTGTTGCCCGGGGCTCCCGTCTATCGGGACCCGGCCTCGCTGGCTCGCTGGCTGTGCCAGGCGCTGGTGGTGCGAGGGGTCGCCGCCGTGCTCGCCTTTCCCGCGTCCCGCCGGGAGCTGCTCCAGGTGGATTTCGCCGCCGCCTTCCTGGACATCCCCTTCATCAGCATCAGGCAGGAACCGGAGGAGGAAGAGGAGGAGGAGGAGGAGGGCGACCCGGCCGATGATGTCGACGAGCCCCCGATGCCCTTCAGGACCTGGGTAAGCCTCCTTCGCCCCTCCTTCTCTTAGAGCCTCCACAGCCAGGGGCAGCCTATCTTGGTGCCTCGGTGGTGCAGCGGATTAAGGGTTGTTAAGTGCTAGCGCTTAGCTGCCAGCTGCCTGCAATTAGTGCCAGTTCGAATCTCACCAGGCTCAAGGTTGACTCAGCCTTCCATCCTTTGGAGGTAGGTAAATTGAGGACCTGGATTGTGGGGGCAATAAGCCAGCTTTGTATTGAACAACACCGCTTTGGGGGGGAGGCGAAAGCCATAATAAGCAGGTATATACATAAAAGTGTGCAGGCTATTGCTATAATGCATTGTAAGCCGCCCTGAGTCTACGGAGAAGGGCGGCATATAAATTGGACCAATAAATAAATAAATAAATAAATCTTCCAGGGCCGCTGCCGAGGAGAAAAGAAGCAGGGTAAGCCGTGGTCCCGTTTGAAAGGATGCTGGGAGCCTCCACATGCCCGGTGCAGTCTATCTTAGGGAGAGAAGATTGGGCGGTTTCTGGTTGCTGTGGCCCTTTGGTTGACTCCTGTGGTGCCCCTCTATTGTAAATGGAGTGTTGTGATGATTACTCTTGATTTCCACATCGTTCTTCAGGTTACTGTATGCTAGAAAAAATATCAGCAAGAGAATTTCTGCTGCCAGGGCTGTTTATCTTTAAACCATTATTTACAACTCCCGTGAATTTCCATAGACACCAACTGTCGACTTTCATCTGTTGGATGCAGGAAATACCTGCCCGTAGATCATCATCCTATATTTAGGACAAACAAAGGTACCAATTGTCAGCCAGCTCATGCACTGTAGTTCTAGCTAGTCCCCCACAGCAGATAAGCTACCCTTAGATATGGAAGCTCCCAAGAATTTACTCATTAGCACCTTCAGTATCCACAGTCAGAAGGAGACGCTGGAGCAAAGGAACAGGTTCCCATCCAGATGTTTTGGACTTCAACTCTCAGCATCTTTTGCCAGTGCGCATCTGATGGGGAGCATCAGGTTTGGGAAGATTGCAATAGCCATTTCTTGCCATGAATCTCATTTGGCAAAGAATAAATTATACGTGTCCTCATGTTGCTTTCCCGTCTTCTACTAGGTGTGGTAATGAAATGGAGCCTGGGAGTACAGTGGCAATCTGCCTCTGCCATTTCTGGGGACGAAACAAGATCAGTTGTCGCTTTCATTCCTTGCTTGTGGCATTCTTGGAGTCATCCTCACTACTCAATGTAGGGAAGTAGAATTTATTCATTAGATAGGGTTTTTTTCCCCCCCTGTTTCAAATCATGCTCTTCTTCAGTCATCATGCACAGTAGAGCTTCCTTATTCAGAGGCAATCTATCCCTAAATGTTAGATGCTAGGAACTGGGGAGCCACCCTATTCAAAAGGTGGTCTACCTATAAATATTAGGTCAAAGAAACTAGGACACAGGTTAAGAAGTAATATTGCAGGACACTAACCCTATTAGCTGTGGAATTGGTGAGAACTGGAGTCAGAGAAAAATCAGTAAGACTGAAGATGTCTCATTTCTGGAAGAACATCTCACAGTACATAGAAACATAGGAAAGGTTTGAATTTTGAGTTGTGTAGCTCAATATTGCTCGCGTTGACTCTTTGAGATATCTGATGTACAGAATGGGTTTTCCAGCTTTCCTTGGAAACGCTGGGATCTAAACCAGGAGATTTTTTCCCCCACGGGAAGCTTAATGCTCTGATCTCAAAGCACAGAGTGCTTGTTGTAGCCTCAATTCTTCCCTTGGTGGTCCTACTCACTTAACATTTCAGGAGGGGACAAGAGAGCAGATTTTGAGTTCGCTCCAATACCTGTTCCAGCACGTAAATCTCCCCTGGTATAAAATGAGACTCTTTTGAATCATAGGCTGCCTTCCTCTCTGTTCTTCAATCACACCCACAGCTGTTGCAACAGGAATAGGAGAAATAACTTTCCAGCCTAATGATGGTGTCTCCACCACACACACACACACACACACACACACACACACACACACACACAAACAATAACAGGTTCTAAACCTTCTGTTTAGAAGCTCTGATGTCTCTGTTATTTTCATATTAGTTGCAGCAGTTTATATTTTGCAGAAGAAAGAGAATTTTTCCAAAAGTGGAAGTTTTGGTTCTCGGCCACTGTAAAATGGGTTCCAGTGGAATGTTGATCCTCTGAGTGATTGCTATTCCATGCAGGGATCTAGGGATCCTTATTTTATTTTAATTTTGCTGTGCCTTCTGCCTTTCTTCCTCAACGTACGGCTGCTCCAAGTCAGGTGTCCCAGAAAATTGGATCCTCACTAGGTGCTGCCTATATTTAGATTTAAGTTTGTTTTTAAAAAAAAAAAAAAGCCTATACATTTGTAAGACCTTTGTAAAGGAAAGCTAGTTTTTTTTTCTATGTTGCATAATTATTCTATTTAATAGCTGAGAATATAAATGGCTTAGGATTTAACGGTGGAGACCTTGGTGTTCGATGAGCTTGGCTATTTGCTTGCAGATGTTTCATTATCCATCTAAGCAATATCATCAGTGTGAATGAGTGTATACATATATAATGTACTCTTTCCTGTTTATATACAGTAGTTTGCCCTGCTACTATTGGTGGCCCTGTGGTTTTCTTCTGGTGATTCCATGGTTGGGGTATTATTTTCTGTTCAATTGTTTGTCTGGTGTCAATCCTTGTTTATCTGGTGTTGGAGAGGACACGTCAGTGTTCTTTTTGTTTCCTTCTGAGCTTTTCATTGCTTCTTGAATGGTATGTAAATGTGATCTATCTTTTTGTGTCTGTTGATGGATATTTAACATAGTATGGACTGACAGCAGCTTCTGAGATATTTTAGGGACAGAAATAGGTTTCTTCTGCAGCTGTGCGGATGCAGGTATGTAGATGCAAGTGTGTGCCATTCTTATAGCCCTTTCCCACTTGTGAACCCTCTCCCTGCCTCCCAATACATCAGACCACTCCTCTTTTATCTTCACAACAACCTTGCAAGGTAGGTTAATCACTGGCTCATGTCCAATCAATGAAATTGATTTCAGAGCTGGGATTTTAGCCTGTTGTTTCTCTGCTCTACCTTCTCAAGAGAGTTACGATCTAGGTCAGGAGTGTCCAACCTTAGCAACTTTAAGATTTTGGGACTTCTCCTGCTGGCTGGGGAATTCTGGGAGTTGAAGGTCTTAAAAGTTGCCAAGGTTGGACACCTGAGGTCGAGGTGTCATTTTGCAGTGGCATACAGGAATCCCTCCTTGTGGCCCAGGAGTTTGACTCAAGCAATTCACCAAGGCTAGAAATAAATCTTCTCAGGGAGCAACATTCTATGGAGAAGAAGAAAAAAAAACGGGGGTTGGTAGTGGAGCCCTCTTTTGGACAATGCCCACTTTTACTGGCACACGGCCACTTTGCTTTAGCCCTGCCGGTGTTTGTGTAACGCTCCCCGTCCTCTGCTGTTCTGCAGTAGCCTGCAGATGATAGTTAAGAAATGGGTTGGGTGTGTAAAGCCAAGGGTGGGGGGAGCTGCTTGGGAACAGGGGGGAGGCAGGTACCCAAAGCTGGGGTCGTTGGAACCCATGCCTGGCACAAATAAAGCTACTAGGGTACCTTGGAACAATAGGATCAAGCGTGCACACATTCCGTTGTGTGCCATCTAGCTAAAACACTATTTGGGGGACAAACAGAGTTTCTGGAATCTCTACTGTCCCTTTTCTCCCGCTTCAGGAAATTATTTACAGAATAAATGGGCTTACAAGGTCACACAAAGATTCCAAAGAGGGATTTCCTCCCTCATCCGTGTTTTTTTTTTTCCTTTCTTTCTCTTTTTCAAATCAAATCCTATCGATCAGATCAAAAGCATCTTTTGCTCCTTGTCTCCCGGCAAGTAATTTCCCCGGTAGACCGTCTGTATTTCATATACAGGCTTGGCGAAAAAACCAATTTCCTGCCGGCACATCGGTGAAAGAAAGGAAGGAAGGAAGGAAGAAAAAAAAAAAGCACAGTCAGAAACGAAAAGCTTGTGTGGAGTTTGCATTTAAAACCTGAGGGCATTTCAGTTGTTCCCAGCGTGCTGGTCTTTACAGCTGGACATCTCCGAGGATCAGAAGTTGCGGCTATCATAGTAGCCAGAAAGCCCTGGAGATTTTACTCATCCTTGTGAAACAATTGGTGCCTCGGAGAGCCGGAGAAAGCCT